TCGATGTTAATATTTTCTCTCCCTATATGAATAATTTTGTTTTTTGGTTTGTTTTGTATCTGTTGCATCCAGTTGAGTTCAGTTGTTAAAATTAATAAAAGTCATTACAAGAAAAGTAAAAACCTATTTTTAAAACGATAAAATGATAAGAATTCATCCCATTTACAACATTTTGGCGACCGTGACAGGATCTAAAAGATGGATAGATTGAAGAAAAAATAGGCAGCAGTTGTGGAGACTTTTCAAAAAATCTGTCGAAGCGCTTGATGCAGCTTTGAAGCTGAAAGATTCAACTAAAGAGGATTTACTATTTCTGCTAAAACAATTGGAGGATAAGAGTAGCAGATTATTCGAGAGAGATGAAGGAGTTGAAAAGAAAAATTGCCATTAGAAGTCAGCGATGATATTGAATTAGAAGAGGAGTACGATGAGGTAGAATATTACAGAGACGAGCTGATAAAATATAGATCCAAATGCGAATTCCGATTGAACGAGATTACGAAGACCCAAGAAGATCGTTTTAACAAAAGTAAAAACCTATTTTTAAAACGATAAAATGATAAGAATTCATCCCATTTACAACATTTTGGCGACCGTGACATGATCTAAAAGATGGATAGATTGAAGAAAAAGGCAGCAGTTGTGGAGACTTTTCAAAAATCTGTCGAAGCGCTTGATGGAGCTTTGAAGCTGAAAGATTCAACTGAAGAGGATTTACTATTTCTGCTAAAACAATTGGAGGATAAGAGTAGCAGATTATTCGAGGGAGATGAAGGAGTTGAAGAAAAATTGTCATTAGAAGTCAGCGATGATATTGAATTAGAAGAGGAGTACGATGAGGTAGATTATTACAGAGACGAGCTGATAAAATATAGATCCAAATGCGAATTCCGATTGAACGAGATTACGAAGACCCAAGAAGATCGTTTTAACGGAGAAAATTCAGAGGAAATTTTATTTAACAAGACTAGAACTGAAGAAATTTGATGGGAACGTGAAAAACTGGTTTGGTTTCTAGGGACAATTCAAGAAGATTCACAACGACCCAGAAATAGATAATGAAGACAAATTTTAGCATCTTTTACAAGCGACGGAAAGTGGTTCAGTTGCCTGAGATTTAGTAAAAAGTTACCCCCCTTTTGGGCCTAATTACATTAAAGCCATTGACCAGTTGAATACTCGTTTTACCAGGGACGAATTCCTAATTGAAGTTTACGTAAGGGAGCTATTACAACTTGTACTGCAACAATTTTTAAAACCTAAAACAGGTATGTCTTTTTCCAATCTGTATGATAAACTAAAGCCATTGACCAGTTGAATACTCGTTTTACCAGGGACGAATTCCTAATCGAAGTTTACGTAAGGGAACTATTACAACTTGTACTGCAACAATTTTCAAAACCTAAAACAGGAATGTCTCTTTCCAATCTGTATGATAAACTCGAAACCCAGTTAAGAGCTTTGGAATCCTTAGGAGTTATCAACGAAAAAAAGCGGCTATGCTTTTTCCTCCTGTAGAATCGGCTTTGCTTGCAGAAGTTTCAAGAACTTGGCAAAGACATCCTAATTTTGATTAACGAAATAAGAAGGATGATAATGAAAATTCTAAAGGTACTAATTATTTGAATATGTTATTAGGTTTTTTGAAAATGGAGGTTGAGTCAGAAGAACGGATAAATTTGGCACAAAAAGGATTTGGAAAAGGACACGAGCACAACAAATATCATGCCAGTAAGGATAAATACTTTCCAAAACAAGGTGAGCCGGAATTATACACAGCAGCTGCTTCGTACACAGCTAATCCTAAAGATTATCTAAAAGATAAGCGGAATAATTGTTTATTCTCGATTTGAATTCACATGCAAGTAATGAGTGTTTAAAAGCTCAAAGTCTTTCAATTGATGAAAGAAAATCTAGGATAATGAAAAAACGTGGGACGTTTTTCTTGTTTAAAATCATACTAGTAAGAAATGTCGAGCTGTAATTATGTGTTTGATATGTTCAAAGAAACATTACCCCATTTTATGTCCGGATTTGCATGTGAAGAAAGGTACCACTGATCAAGATGATAAAAATCCAAACAATAAGGTTGAAAATACTTAAACTAACAATTTTTCGAACGAAACTTTATTGCAAACGGTTGTTGTCAAAATTGTCAATAATGACAAACAACAATTGATTAGAACGTTACTTGATTCAGGATCGCAAAGATCATATATTTCACGTCAATGTGCAGCTGAACTAGGGAACTAATTCGTCTTCTGCAGTGATTGTTTCCATTAGAAATTGAAACAGACACGGCGAACCAATTAGAAAAGACTATAGAAGTGGATAATAACGAGATACCAGAAAATCAAGAGGAAGAAAATAAATATGAAAGAAGACATCACGATGCGACGGCTGTATCACAGGTCATAACAAGATCTGGAAGAAGAGTGAAGATACCGAAGCATTTTGGGTTGGAATAATTTTGCAATTAGATTGCAAAATGGGAGGAGAGTGTTGGAATTGTATATTACATTATTTCAATGTCAATATTTTCTCTCCCTATATGAATACTTTTGTTTTCTGTTTCCCAGGGATCCATATTATCTCCAACCTTATTTTTATTGTATATCAACAACTTATTGGAGAAAACCAAGAATCCAATGTATTGCTTTGCTGACGACAGCACACTCGTCTCGTCATTTCATTTGGTTTCCAGGATATCGGCTACGGAGTCACATCTTCGTTGATAGCAAGAGGTTGCATATCTTAATGAGGATCTGAAAGTGATTTCCAATTGAGATGAAAGTAACCAGGTTCAATTCAATGTCACAAAAACCTATACATTGGTTTTCTCCAAACAGGTTACATTTGCCACTATTGCCACTATATTCACTGAATTTCAGACTGACTGAATATAATTTTGCTAGGATGGATATTTTTAGTTCACAAGCATTGCGGCCTGATTGATATTTTTGGTATCTAAGTTACCAGATGGAAGTCATTCATTTAGAACAAATATGTTTTTTCCTACTTATAAGACACATGTTTTCTCTTCTTGGATATAATTAACCAATTAATCACGTATACTATTCCAATTTCAATAAAAAATATTTATTCGAATGTTTATTATATCCCTCAATTGCCTATGTGATTACTTGCCCCAGATACTGTGGTAACCATCACCAGCCCGGGGTTAAAAGTCACACCTTCTCTTTTCCTTAAGAATTGTTGTATTTCCACTATGGATGATGTTGACGGAAAAAAATATTTCTTTACAAAAGAGTAGTATGAAAACTCTATCTATTGATATGAAAATGTCGTTGATAATTTATAAAAAAGGACACTTAAAATGCAAAATACAAAAAATGTGACTTCCAACCCCGGTCTCCTCTACCTTCATTCTCAGTATACCTACCTACGAGTGGAGTAATAATACCTAAAGTGAGTCGGAAAGATCCACATCCTAAATCGGTACGACCAATCAGCTTTACATCCTTCCTGTTGAAAGGACTTGAGAGGATACTAGACGGAACATCAGAACCAGCAAATCGACAGATTTAGCATCAAACAACCTCGTTGAGAAAATATCCCAATCCCTTGACAACAAGGAGATTGCGGTCGCTGTATTTCTTGATATTGAAGGAGCATTTGATAATGAACTACCTAAATCTCTGGCAAGGAAAGGTATAGAATCGACCATAACTGGGTGGATCTATGCTATGCTAGTAAACAGAACTGCAACTACGACTCTTCAAAACGAGGTCATTAAGTTCAGAGTCACCAAAGGCTACCCTCTAGGTGAGGTACTATCTCCCCTTCTGTAGCCACTCCTGATGGATAGTCTGCTTGATGCTTTCAACAGAAAAAAATTAGATCTGCAAGCTTATGCAGATAACCTTGTTATCTTGGCAAGGTCCACGTTGGGAAGGGGTAGCTTGTAATATTCTCCAAAGCATGATGGACGTTGTTCACAGTTGGTTCCTGAGGGAGCAGATGTCTGTCGAACCCCAGCAAAACTGTGATAATCCCCTTCACCAGGAGGAGAAAATTGGATAGTCTAACGCCACTTTCCCTAACGCCACTACACAAAGCCAGACTGTCCCTATGGACATATCGAAGGATTTATGGTGAAACTTGGGGTTTAGGTCCCAAACAAATCCATGGCCAAACCATGGCCAAGCCAATCTCTTTGGCTTTCGGAGACAGGCTTGTCTGGCCATCAGTGGTACCATCAGTACCACACCGTCAGCGGCCGTGGAGATCCTCCTAGATCTACCTCCTCTCCACATTTTTCTGGAGAGAGAGGCTAGATGGACTGCATGGCCAATCTCTTTGGCTTTCGGAGACATGCTTGTCTGGCCATCAGTAGTAACATCAGTACCACACCGTCAGCGGCCGTGGAGATCCTCCTAGATCTACCTCCTCTCCACATTTTTCTGAAAAGAGAGGCTAGATGGACTGCATACAGACTTGTGCACATTGCCAATTGCACAAATCAATTTAATGCAGAGTGCAACAGACTTTTGGTTGACACTGGAAGTTACAGCATTCTGGGAATGACCTCTGACTGTATGCCTCCAACTGTCAACTACGAACTGCCTTACAAAGTACTGTTCCCGAATGGAGAGGAATGGATTCTCCGGGAGAAGAAAATACTAAGAGCAGATAGTATTTGGTTCACAGATGGATCAAAAACACCTTTCGGTTCTGGTGCAGGTTTTTTCAGTCGCAGACCCAGGACAGGGATATCAACCTGCCGAGGAACCTATGCGACTGTATTTTAAGCGGAAATTCACGCTATTGAATTGTATATTTGAAGAATCGAGTGTGAATAGGTTTAAGCCACAATAAATCTTTGCGGGTTGCGGTGGAGGATCCAATAGACCCACTCACTTTGGACCTAACCTAACCTAACAGTAATAATAAATGAACGTTTTTGGACTGCACTGAGAAGTAATATCATTTTTTCTTGTGTTATATCGTATAATATACTGCTACTAAAACTTTTCCAGGTCGAACCTCCAATAGCAAAAACAAGTACTCTCAGATGGATATAGGAAACACTTTCGAGAACTGTACAGTGAACGTCATAGCGAAACCTTATCCTCCCTTCGTTACTAGCGACGGAGGTGGCTTTGAAATAGAAGTTCTAAAAACCGTTGGGTCCATTTTGAATATTAACTTCAATATAACAATGAGTAAAGATAGTGTCGACAGTTGGGGTGATAAGCTTGAAAATTCTTGGACAGGAAATCTGAATTTAGTTCACGACAAATTATATTTAGGAATTGGAAACCTTGATACAAATATTGAACTTCTGAGAGACTTTGATTTCTCCCAATTTTACCACATGGAGCCTTTGGTATACGTGGTTCCCGCTGCTAAATTCGTACCAAAATGGAGGGTACTTTCGGCGATATTCACTATAGAAATGTGGGCTATATGTTTTGCTGTTTTGATTATATTCGGCTTCATTTTCTACTGTACTTCTAGATCTAAAGGTATTACCAGAATTCAAGACCCCTTGCTGTATTCTCTACAGGTAATAATAGGTCACGCCGTAGACAGACATCCTGTACATGATATACAGCGAATATTCTTTGTCAGTTTGAGTATATTCAGTATAATACTATCATCAATTTACACATGCTCTTTGATATATTACCTGAAAAACCCGATTAAGCAGCATCAAATCAAATCTTCACAAGAAATATTCGACGTATTTGGAAATATGAGATACACTGTAGGTGGAATAGCAAAATACAGAATGCTGTATAACGTGTCATACTCAGATGAGATACAAAAAATATTCGAAACATATGAAACAATCTCAGAAGAAAACGAAACGGTGGAATACTGGCTAAATTTAGTCAGCAATAGAGAAGACCTCTGGACTATATCTAGTGAGTTTTTTGTCAAATATCTTCTTGCCCTCAACAGTAACTCAACTACCTACCCAGATGGCCAACCTAAACTCTTTCCTCTACACCAACAGTTATTGTCGTATCCCGTAAGCCTCATTATGAGAAAAGGCCACCCACTGTTGAGAAAAATCAACCCTGTGATTACAAGATTACTTTGTGGAGGACTCGTAATAAAATTCTGTGAGAAATATTTGAGTGAAATTGGCAAGGACGACTCAATGGATAATATGCAAAATACAACTCCGTTTGAAGCTTTGTCATTGGAACATTTACAGGGAGCCTTCGCCATCCTCACAATTGGATATGTTTCAGGAGGTATAACGATGTTGTTGGAATTTTTCATGAAAACATTTTTAGCTGACTATATAAAGATCTAGTGTGGAGGACAGTAAAATAACAAAGCGACTTCTGGCCCACTTCAAAGTCGCACGTCGTTGGTAAATGTTTCAGGGAGTGGGAGAGACGAACGTGTGACGTAATCGATGCAGAGAGGGATGAAATAAGTATCGAAGAGATTAAAAGAGCGTGGCCCCCTTGGGACTCCGCCTCACCCCTCGGACCCTCTTGGGACTCCGCCTCACCCCTCGGACCCTCTTGGGACTCCGCCTCACCCCTCGGGCCCCCTTGTCACGTACCAGTCACGTGGTCCAAGTGGTCATTGGCAGCTGAGTGAAATTAAATCGAAAAAAACTTATGGGTGTGATAATTGAACCCAGATCGTCGGCGTGGTAGACGTTGTCCTTAGCCTCAACACCAACGTGCAATATTGGGAGTAATTACGAATTGTTGATATTTATAGCGGTTGTTGTAGAAGATACAGAAATATCCTTAGATTTGGGGAAGAGTTGATGGTTCATAAAAAGGTGTGTTTGTAAGCATGAGAGAGACACATGTGACGTAATCGATGCAAAGAGAGATGGAGATGGTATCGAGGTGATACGCCGCCGAAGCAAGCATGACAGGTTCAGTGTTGTCGGTTGAAAAATAAATAGTTTTTTATGAGGCGATGTAGCATTTGAAGTGTTGCTGGTTCCAAATTGAGCATGAAGGTGTAGGAATACGACTCGATAAAAATTGTATATTGAAAGCGCGAAAGTCATATATTAATAATGATGAATGAATAATCATTTTGAAGGAAAAATATGGCGGCAATGTTACGGACTACTAGGACCACGTGACTGGTACGTGACAAGGGTCCCAAGGGAGGCTACGCTCTTTGTATCTCTCCGATACTCATTTCATCCTTCTCTGCACCGATTACGTTACACGTTTCTCTCTTCTACTCACTAAAGTCTCTCCGAAACATTTACCAACGATGCGCGACTTTGAAGGGGACCAGAAGTCGCTTTGTTCATCTACTGAGGACAAAATTTTATTCAATAACTGTCGAAATTAATAAAAAGTGAACATGTGAAAGCTGAATTTCATTTCCTTTTGAACGGTATAAAAGCTATCTCTGAAGCAAAATGTAATATCGTTCACAAAATATCAAAATAATATGATTCCACCAGAAAAGATAATGAGCAGAATGACCAAAAAATAAGATTAGAAGTATTGAACTCTGCTTGAAATCCTCGCTTCTCAGTTTCAATATTTGTTTAGCTGATACCGCTATTGCTATCTCGGAAACGGTTGGTCCTACAAGAACGGTTACATGGAACAAAAATTACCTTTTTAGGAGTGCAATATAATGGTATTCTCGAATCGATAAAATCAGCAACCGTTTCTGAGATAATAATAATGTCAAAAAATAACAAAGGAACTTTTTGCTTCATTTCATGTTTTTCAGAATAGAATTATTTTTATGGAAGAACGGTTTCTCCAACCTCCCAGAATGGATTTGATAATCTAGTACAGCGTTTATTTATGAACCATTACCTTATATTCACGAACTAATACCAGAATCAATGAATGTATTCCGAAACAATGACTTTATAATTTCTGAAAGAAGTGTCACAACTATTTCTAAATTTATGGGAAAGAAAGTGTTTGGCTTTCTACCACTCCATCTAGATACAAAAAAGCAGTCACTTCTGAAAATATAACCTTTTCAATTTGAACTGGATTTCTTTTGGTTGGTACCTAATCAATTGAGTGAATGAATGTCATTACGATGTCATCTATGACATAAGTGGATCAAACTTCACCAAAGTTCACCAGTGAGGATGACAGTGTTCCATGTAAGTGAAATTTTTACATTTCATTTATTATATTGTGTGAAAATCCTGTGAATGACATCTGATTTGATTCCATAACGAATGTTTGGAATACAAACTGAGTAGAGAAAAGTGTTTTTGTATAATTCAGTGTTCATGCAAAAGTATTTGATGAAGGATAGCAGATTGGAGTTGCATCACTCTCTCACTTTAAGAATATCTTGTGCTATTTTGTTCTGAAGATCATTTTCATTAGGGTCATGCCACAGGATGGTTGTATCATCTGCAAAAATTGTGAACGTTCCCTCAGAATCAATATAAGCTAGATCATTAAAATACAACAAAAACAATACTGGCCCCAGTACCGAGCCTTGGGGTACTAACAGAGATAATATCTGACAGCGTGTCAGTTCTCACAACTTGGGTTCGTTGACTCGGATATGAGCGAGCGCTTCCGATAGCTAGCTGTGCTGTCATCCTAAGTTCGCACTGCGAACTTAGAGTGGAACACAGCAAACATAGAGCTATCAACGAGACTTGGGGACAAGGGAGATAACGACCTCGTCCCCGAGTCATGTAAGTACAAATGTTCGAGTAGGTTTCCGCGGTCAGTAATTTGATATACTGTTGTCCGGGTTGACCCGCGTCTGTAATTTTCATCTTTTCGGCTCCTGCTTTGGAGCCATTTTCAAAAATCACTTAGATTTGTACTTACATGACTCGAGGACGAGGTCGTAATCTCCCTTGCCCCCAAGTTTCGTCACTAGCTCTATGCTTGCAGTATTCCACAGTGTGAACTTAGAGGCTAAAATCTCCGGAACGAAATTTCGCAAACCAACGTCGAACAGTTAGTTCATTAACATTATTATTGCCAAATGCCTGGTTGATTTTTCGTGCTGTTTCGGCATCGCTTGGTTCAATTTGAATTCTTAAAAAATTGGCTGAAAATCGATTAACGACATCGTATTGAAATGAGTTGGAAACAGGCAAAAAATAATAATTTGAAAAAATAATGACCAGCATCGATATATCTCTCTATTGATCAGTATATTCCACGACACAGTAGAATAATTATTGAGATATGAAGCTACAAAAACACATCACATAAAAACGAACAAATCTTATGGAACAACCTGAAATTTATCAACGAAAAACTGAATGCATTTTTCATCCATCCTAATTGGTTGTAACTTTAAAATCATCTGAATACAATATTCTGAACTTGAAGTTTGGAGACTTTTCTGTAAATAATTTGTAGGCTTTCCTTGCCTTCATATGAAAATGAAAATTATTAGTCAATATGAAAAATAATTCCTGACATCGCTTATTTTATTCAAATCAATTATATAAACCACCGAGCTCCTTGCATCAAACATATACACTTATCCAGTCAAAAATTGCTTAAAAATATATTTGACTTATTATCGCTTGTCAGATCCAAAGACAAAAACGGTTGTACAACCTTTTCATTAATCAGGCACACGTGAATCTCCGAATCCAGTAGAGTGGCGACGATATTTTGGCAAGAACTTGACTCTATTTTTGTAAATGTGAATAGCTGGTTTATAGATTTGGAAGCTAACAATAGTGAATGTTCGGAGTTCTTTGAATGCATTTCTATAGAACTATCTCCATTTCGTTTGGACAATGAGTTTGGCTGAATTATCCTGCAGATCAATAACATTGTTCAGTTTAGTACTGAATGATATATACAGTGTGTCCCTGCTGAAACTTGTCACCCAAACATAGTGTTTCAAGCAATTTTCATATTTTTCTGGAACATGTTTGGTCCAAAATTCTTCAGTGAATACCGTTTTATACATTTGCGAAGACACATTTTCTTGCAAATTGATTATCTTTATTTGAAGTCATAAGTCATGACTTTGACAGAATAAACAACTTGGCAGCCACATCCGTCCATTCTGCCGCTACATCAACTTCAAATGGCAATTTAAGAAACGGATATAGCTTGCGCATCTCTGCAAAGTCTTGGAATTTTGTAGCAAATTCGTTTCTAAGATTGGCCAGAAATTTTGAAAACACTGCAATGTTTTCTTCAGAGTTCTTTTTATATTCAATAATTGTCGCAAAACGAGTGGATTCTTGTCTTGAAATATCTTTTTCAGAGATATCCAGCTTGTGACGAAAAGCAGACAATTTTTGTATTAGGTCACATTTTCCATTTCCTTGCAACTCTGTGTTGAGCGCATTTGAATATTTTGAAATATTTTTAGCTTGGAAATATTATTTCAATTAATGGAGGTATAGTATACCTTATCTACGTACCAAGTATAAATAATTGGTATACAATACATTACAATATTTGGCGGTCCGAAGTTCGACCTTTCGCATTCCGCAAAAGGACCGAGATCCGCCTGTTACTGACCGTTGGTTTAGAAGGTAAGACAGATGTTTTCATAAAAAAAAATTTTGTGTCATGTTTTTTGTATACGTATTTCTATGTTTAAGCCTTGGTATATTGACGTATTCGTTTCACTTCATTCAACAATTTAAAAACATTCGAAAATGGTTTATACTATATAGTATTTCCAATACCAATTGGAACAGCACAGAGAAGGAATTCCCGCCTCTACATAGGCGTCGGCATATTATCTTTCAGTGGTAGTTTTTCAGTTACTTATTCTTACCATCATAGCAATTGATCACCCCATGAAAAAGTTATCTCAACTGAATTTTTCCACCATGGGAATTATGAAAAACTTCGAAATTTAAGGTAGTTCACTTCCGAGTCGAAAACTCTAAAATACAATGAAAACACAAATAATCACAGCGAATTCTCGTCAAACATATATTTACAAAATAATAGAGGCCAACAAAATTGCTAGAAAAATCAAAATTTTTCTTCGCTATATTCGGATGAGGTGGAATCATCATCGGGTTGAATAACGATCGGATTTATGGAACTTTGCACATAATATTTGTTCTTTGTTTTTATAACGTGGGCCACACAGTTTTTCCACACATCACTATTACCTACTTCATTCACCACTCGTCTTATATTGTCAAGCACTACAGCATTCAAAGTCGGTGACTGATAACATTTCCGCAAGCTTTTTTTTCATTGTGGCCCAAACCATTTCAATTGTATTGAACACACAATAGTATGGAGGCAAACGTGAGAGAATGTGACCACGTGTTTCACACATAGAATCAATAATATACTCTATCTTGAAATTACGTTGTTTCGTGGTCACCAGTTATACCTTTTTCGTTGGAATCTTTTCGGGTAATTCCCTGTCATGATTTCGCATGAAATCAACAATATCTGCTTTTTTGTGTTATTGTTTGGTATTGTAGTCAATAACCGAGAATGATAGGAATCGTTATCCATAACAATAACCGAATTTGGAGGAATATTTGGGAGAAGCTACTCACTGAACCAGGTTTCTAATAAAGTCGCAGTCATATCTTCGTGGTAATCAGCAGACGAATCTTTTATATTTTTGGCCGACAGAAGCAAAGCGTTACGTAGGAAACCACTTTCATTCCCGGCATGCAAAATTATAACACGTTTTCCCCTTGAAGAAGGTGTGTTCAAAGCACAATACTTGGTTTCGTCTACCCAGCCATATATGACAACATCATGGGTGTCTAACCAAGTTTTGTCGAGGTAGATTATATGTCTGCTGGATTCTCGGTAGCTTTTCATTCGCCTCAAATATTCTTGTCGAAGTTGAACAATGCGTGTCGATTCCATTATGACCATCCGATTGTTCAATTTTTTATATTTGAAACTACAAGACAATAAGACACCTTGTAGAGTTTCTAAAGATTTGTAATTGTAATCGGGATAGTCGAGTAATTTATACCAAATCATTTCCAAGGTTGGTACTTCATTTTTTTTGGTATATACCATAAATTGATCGCCGAATCACATCTTTTGTAGCACCATCAACGTTTGCGAATTTTTTATTCCTTTGTTTTCGTTTCACTGCTTGGTAAATGACATCCCCTATTTTAATGACTCGAAGAACTGTCGAACGAGATAGTTTCGTTAATTCGCATATTCTATTCCTTCTTCAAGCATTCATGAATATTTAAAATTACTCGCTGAACTTGAACATGTAAGTCCTTATTTTCAAATTCCAGATCCCTGTCGATTGACACAGATTCCTCACACGTAATGTTATCATTTGTTTCAAAAGGTATCCAGAAAGTCATATTAATGGAAGTACCCAAAAACACTAAGATTTTCACAAAAATCGGTTTAAACGATGAGATTGA